CCCTCCCCCCCTCCCCCAGCCCCTGCATTTCTCCCTGCCTCTTTGGGTTTTTGGCTTGTTTTGGTTTTTTATTCACCAGCCAATAAAAGAAACATATATACAGAAGGACACCCCCCATCTATAAACCAATCACTTTTTTGCTTTTGCGACATAAAGGAAGTATGTAAGATATTTTTTTTTCAACTTGACACAGAGGCTGGAGATAAATGAAAGGAAGGCTCCTCAATAGAAAGAAATTGTCTTTGTATCATTCTGTTGTAGAGCATTTTTAAATTAGTGATTGTCTAGAGAGGACTCAGTCCATTGTGGGTGGTGCCATCTTTGGGCTGGTGGTCATGGACTGCATTCAATTGCAGCCTTAGAATGCAACAGGGATCAAGCCAATCAGCAGCACACCTCTATTGCCTCTGTGTCAATTCCTGCCTCCAGCAAACTGCGCAGTTTTCAACAATTTGCCAGAAGTCCAACATAATTACTTAAAAATGTGAAGGGTTTTGGCTAAATTTCTTCATTGTGTTACATTTTGTTTAAAAGATCTCAATTGAGTTAATTCAGGAAAATCCATTTATTACAGAGTGACAATACTTAAATCCAAACAAAAGTTGTGACATTCAAGGACTTTAACAAGATAGAAAAGCCTTCAAAGGTCACATCATTTAAATTTGTGGTAGATAAGTAGATGCGTTCAAGCACGAACTAACTTTTCTATTCAGAATAAAGTACAAAAGGTGGAGACGTTCCTGTCAAAAAGTAAACAGATAAATTTCAAACATCCCTAAAAATTAAGAAATGCTAGCTTAACAAAATGCAAAACTTTCATGAACAAACCAAAATAATTCATAGAACTTTAGAACCCATAGTTACTTCTTGGTGAATTTTTTATTCCTTTTATTACAAAGATTTGTTTATGAGAGGTTTAAGGAAGTTGGCTTAACCTGCCAAGAACTGAAGGGTGGGCTCACTTTCTTCCTCAGTTAAGTTCAGCGAGAAGAGTTAAGGGAGGCAGGAGAGAGCAGGTACCCTGGACGACTTGCGTTAAATCATCCTCAAAAGAACACGAGCTATCTCTCAGTTATAAATTACAAAAATTAGTTAAGTACCATTATAGAATCAAAGCTAAGTAATACATCGCAGCATATGCTTTTCAGAAAATTCAAGATAAATTGATTCTTTCAAGTTTGTTGGACCTGTTATTATATATTACCATGTTGTCAAACTCAACTATGCTTGTTTACATAATGGTCTAATAACATCACATTACATTTCTAAAGGCAGCCCTCATTTCATAATATACAGAATTATTGCTTCAATTAAAATATTAAAATATATTTGGTGTAGGAAAGGAAAGAATTGTTTATTTATTCATTCATATGTACTTTTAGGAAGATTTATTATGGTAAGCTTATTGACATAAAACACACGGATAAAACATCGACTGGAAGGCTATCTCCCATTTTCAAACTGTAAAATGTAGGCATGCTATACATTGAATTCTGTTATCTGTCTAATTAGCATTTAGCAAAATTCAAATTCAGTAAGTATGTATGAGAATTGGTATGTCATGTTGAAATCCCTTAGAGATGGAAATGAAAGCAGTCATTGCAAAATTTGCTAATTTCTTATATTTTTTAACTCCAGAATGTATGCAGTATATTAATACTAGTCCTATTCCTCAAATGACTGTCAGGCAGCTCCTCTGGGCTCCTTAAACTGTGATTCAGACTGAATAAGGCAATGATTCATTCTTTTGATATAGAAAATATGCAGAATGAGCAATGCATTGTGTTAGAAATAGCTCTATCAGTCTATTAAACACAGAGTAAGCAATATCATGTTAGTACCATTGCCATGGAGAATACAGAGTGTCTAAGAAGGGGAGAAAGTATGTGATGATAACAACTGGCAGCAATATGGACAACATAAAACTTAAGTACTAAGGCACACAGAGACATTATTTACTGGCATGCTGCTGCTTTGATTTGTTTTAGGATGTGCGTACAGCCGCAGAGTTGGATCAAGGTGAGGGAGAGAGCAGCTGCTAAAGTTCAGAAACTCTTTCCTCCCTTACCTGCCACTGAGAAGGAAGCCAATCATCACTGCCAACAAGATGACTCCCACTGTCACCGACACTGCAATGATGGGAATCTGGCTTTGATCATTGGATGCTGCAACTGCTGATAGAAGACACAGAGAAAGGAACTTGTAGTTAAAGGTACCATATACATTCAAAATGTAGTTTCTTCACAGCAGGTAATTGATTTATGATTTAAACAATTCAGCCACATTGGGCTAAGGTTATCTGGTAATGTCTGTATTCAGAAGACTATGAAGGAGGAAATATTTACTCACCAAATATAAATCAAAAGCCCCAATAGTCACTATTTTCTACCTATAATAAAAATAGAATGTAGATTGTACAGTACCACAGTACTCGAATCTTGCAAGGTACAGGGAAATATTGTCCACGACTTTAAACTCACTCATATATGAATATTCAAGCTTTGACATTTCTAGAATTTGGATATTGCTCTCTAGCAAAGAAAACATTACCTCAAGTATTCTAACCTGTAGACGGAATGTCTAGTATAATGGGACTTTGACCTTGCTGAAACAAACTGCAATACCAATAGTATATATATAACCTAATATCATAACTCCATGTTGAATATAATATGTCACAGTATATTGTAAATGGGAACACTGAAAAGTATCAAAGTGTAAATATAAAGCCTTCTGTACATATGATTGGGCAACTTTAAAGTACTTGTATACTATACATTTTAAATGCATGAATTTATAGCAGTTTATAACTTGATATCAAGATAATAAAATGTAAGTATAAAAGGTTTAGGTACAGTATCTAAATAAGCATGGAACCTTTTGTTTTGTGCTGATAACTATTCCTATCTAGGAAACGGCAAACAAATTTGTCCAGGGGTTTGAGACCCTTTCATTGGGTACTTAACACTTGTCTTGTTAGCCACAGAGTCATTTTGATGCCGCAGAGTAGCACTTGTAAAACTTCACAGTATCAAATCTGTGTTCTACAAGCTAATAACAAGTAGTTTCTCTTTGCTTTCTACTACCCATTGCCAGATCTGTTCTATGTAATTTATGATTCCATACCTCTCTGTATTGTCTTAAAATTGCATTGTTTCTGTGCAAGATGATCTCATTTTATAACCACATCTTCATCTTGACCTATATATAAATCCAGTCAAAACATTCTACAGACTCCAATATTTTCAACAGCTTTCATGAGTAAAATGGTATTTATAGATCATGTGAAAAATATCTTTGTAAAATACAAGTTTATGTTCTTACCTTCCCATTTTTCCCATTTAAAATTAATTTATTTCTTTTGATTTTGGGTTTAAGGGTGGTCTGCTTGCATGTATGTCAGCATACCACTGATGCTTGAACCCACAGAGGCCAAATTGGCAATGCTCAAGTATGTTGATTTAATGAAAAGGGGTTGTTCATTATCAGAAGAGAGAAGAGGACAACATTAAACTGAGAAATGTGTTAGAATTGTCCAGACACACTGACACATATCTGGTAATAAGCATAGCACTTATAGGAGGAGATATGTGATGGCTTGAATGAGACTGGCTCCTCTAGGCCCATATATTTGAATGCTTGGTCAATAGTTGGTGGAATTGTTTGAGAATTAGGAGATGTGGCCTTGTTGGAGGAGGTGTGTCATGGAGTAGGCTTTGAATTTTCAAAAGCCCACATCAATTCCAGTTAGCTCTCCCCACCCTCCTCTTTCTGCCTCATGATAGTGTATCACATGTAAACTTTCAGCTATGGCTCCACCACCATTTCTGTTTGCCTGATGCCAAGCTCCCTGTCATGATGGTCATAGTGTCACTCTCTGCAATTTTAGGCACTATCAAATGTTTTCTTCTATCCTGGCTATGCTGGTTTTTGAAGAAATCATTGAGACTATGGACTAGGAAAGCAGTTAAATACTCTGTAAGAGGGGCTTAATGGGCCATCACAATCAGATCACTGAAAACATGTCCAGGTTTATGCATGTCTACTTTGAAAAAGAACAAGCAGTGTAAAAGGAAATACAAAATGTAAAATTTGAGGAGATACCAGGAATTTTAATGTTGGAGTTTGGGTGGTAAAAATAAGGGAAAATGGAATAAAGAGTCTGGTAGCCCCAGTAAGACAAGTCACTCATCTAATCAGGCAGCTGGTTAAATAAAAAAGCTTAAGGAATTATGTGTTCCTAAAAAGCAAAAACAAGTCAAAGTTTATGCAAATTCTATTCTAGGATCATGCCTTGTCCCATCCAAAGAAGGAGAAGCTGGCAGCTTCGGTCAAGTAGTTGTAGTACTGTTTAGAGTTTGGAGCAATAGAATAAAAAGGTAAGGAAATCTTTCTCTTGAGTTAAGGAAGGCCACTGAGGCCAGACATGTACTGCAAGGGGTGGGGGGCAGTGGGAGTAGTGGCTTGTACTGGAGTCCCTGCAGGGAATCTCAGAGTGGTCATTACATGAAACTATGAAAGTAAAGCCTAGATTAATTGGAGACCCCAAAATATCAGTGGTGCTAGAGCCATGTAATGTCAACCCATAGGACTGCATAAAGAGAGTAAAACCAGCCCAAGAGAGAAAAAATGTTTTGCAATCAGCAAAGCTGAAAGGGAAGAGCCTTCAAAGCCTTTTGACACCAGACATGTTCAGGAAAAACTTTGTTCCAGTGGCCCCTTACTAAACTCCTGTTCCTTCATTTTGGGATAGTAATTTATATTAATGTGCTATGCTATGTTAGAGGAATGTAAGCTCTCCAGTAAGGCTCCAAACTCCATGCGTGACTGTCAGCTGCCATGCACCCACAATGATGGTCATAATAAAAAAATTAAATATTAAAAAAAGGCAAATATTTCTTTGTGGTAAAAAATAGTTGAATGAAGATGAATGAGAAATAGCAAAATCTCTCTCTCTCTCTCTCTCTCTCTCTCTCTCTCTCTCTCTCTCTCTCTCTCTCTCTGGGTGCGTGTGGGTG